AAGAGACAAAAGAACAGACCTTTCCTACGAATGTGAATCCGCCAGGTAAGGGGGGGAAGGAATCCGCCCAAACCACTTATGCTAATTATCACATTCCATAGTTCGAAGAGCGTTCACTTTCTTCGTTCTACGATGCCATAGAAGAGAACTTGGTTGGGGCAAAACTAAAGGCTCTGACAAGACGTTATGGCCGGTTGATCTATTGTCATTCATTAGGGTAACAGAACGTCTACGTTCCAGTCGGATCCATGGCACTCTTGAAGTGGATTTATCATTGATCACTTTCTTTTCGGTCCTCATGGGATTCCCCAAGCATTGTTTACCGGGGAACAACGACTCGACTCGGCTGAACTAGTAGCTACTAACACAGTGGGCGGCCTTCTTAGTGTACTTATGTACAGATCCAGAGCTATTGACAAAAATAGAGGAAATCTGTATAGGGCTATTTACTGATGAAAGTGTAAAGGAATTGATCTAACTCAAATAAGAGAAGAATGAATCGCGATTAGAATCAAATCGCACCTTTGGTTCTGCAATGCCAACCCAGTCCGGGCTGAATACCCGACAGTGCTCTCGTAACATATTCCAGAAGAGTCTATTCATTGATGGCGGTCATCGGGAGGATCGGTACGCTTTACCAGCGTTATAGTAGGTTTCCGAAGAATCCCTTTAACCGGCTGTGCTGCAAGCATAGATTGATCCACATCGACCAACTGCTCGTCTGGGTCGTCGGCTAAATCGGCCCAGCTTTGCCGCGAAGCTACCGTCATCGCCTGGTGCTATGAGAAGAGGTATCTCCGAAGTAATCGTAAACTCATGCACCGGCGGTGTTCCGCTCAGAGATTTTCTGCGATATCCTTTCCAGGCAACATATCTTCATGCGGCAAAAGAGTCGAGCCAACTGGCTACGAGACGGTGACCGGAATACTGCGTTCTTTCATCGGAGTATTCAAATTCGCGCTGGACCTTAAAAGGTCTCCAGATTCATGGTGTTTATACACAGGATTTTCAGGCTATTCGAAATCACATCTTGGATTTATTCTAATCGCTCTTCTCGGAGCGGCAGCCCAGGGACCTCTCTCTGGTCTGTCGCGTTATCTAACCTGTGGATTCAGCGATGCGAACCTGTATAGTATATTCCCCGAGAAAACTCTCACCTTCAAGTGCTCTGACTGAAAACTGGCAGGCTCAAACACTGCAGGGGCTCCTTAGAGCGCTGTAGCTGCAGGTCTAGCTCTTTATACACGTACGGCGTTGGCGAGGACCTGAAGGGGGAGTGTAGTAATAAAATGATCATGCACAGTATATATTGGTGCATTCATTTTGTGAATCACTTTTTTGAGAAAACGAGGGTCATAATTAGCGGATAGGGCCACGAAGGGAAAAACGACTTTCACTTACTTTTGGTTGAAAGCTTTCTTTCAAACCTTCTCAAGGGTTTCAGTAAAGCCTGTCTCAAACGATCCAACAATAGTAGAGGAAAACATTGGGGGACTAAGCCCTTTCTTGATTCAGGTTGGCGCAGAAAGCACTCGCTTTAAAGACGGAAGAATGAAAGGTTTTGCCTTGCTTGCTGCTTGCTTACTATAAAAAGCGGTAATCTGACTTTAGATTCATTCTCAATCTTGAAAGACTAGGAATGAAATAATGTAGCTAACTCTTCTTAGCAAAGGGAAGCTAGCATGGGTAGCAAGCAAGTCCCAGGTTTGAGTTTGATTCTTATTCTTACCGTATCTCCATGAAGAGAGCTTCTGCTAAAGGAATTGGTGATCCCTAGTAAGGGGCAACTAGACTTCGCACCAATCCATGAGTTCAAATATTCTTACTATAAAGTGAATCAATATGACGGATTTTCCTTTACTAGATGAAGTATACCACCAGTATGTTTTATTACTAATGTACTATTGAATTTTGAATGAAATAAGCAGATTAGTAAATCATTAAATAATATGAATTCTTATCGTCATATACATGAAGTATATATATTGAATTGCTGTGATAATGTAATATCCTCATCATTCTTTGATAAACTCAGTCTTGCAGGTAGAATATATCATATTAAGCCAGGTACCTACGCTCCTTGTTTTATAGGTCAGGTTTAATTAGATAATAATGGTAATATAGTAGTAATTTACGAAATGAACTAGGGAAATAGTAGGAATCTCTAGTTGAACGGCTAGCTGATAATCGGCTAACGCAGCTTTTCAATGGCCGGTAAGCGCATATAGGACGATCGGTGGCTGCCGGAGGTTATACTGCCTTTTAAAAGCTGAGCTTCTGACTGCGTTGAGTAAGAACTTGTTGAAGTTACGTGGTAAAAAACTCTACTCTTTATCCGGCTAGGGTCAACGGCACATTTTAGACTAGCCAGGGTAGCAAAGAGCTTTCAACTCCTTTCCCTTCTTCTTTCTATATTCCCTTATGGTTTATGGTTGACTCTCCGAACAGTAAAGAGAATCCCGTGTACCGTGCCTCTAAGTAGTATAAGGAACTCACTAGG